TGGCTCTTCTTACATATTTTCACTTGTAAGAAATGGCACTTTAAACCCAAAAAAGTTTGGTAAAAGTGGAAATGACACCGATAGTGAATTTTATCTCTATCATCAAGACAATCAATACCTATTTGCATTTGGTTACGATGGTAAAGCTGGTGATATAAGTGTACACAAAAAGGTCAAAATAATAATTATTGCGACCCAGACACTTACACCGCCAAACAAAACGAGTTGGTCGATAACAAATATTTCACACCAAAGAGTGTTGTTGTCTTCCAACTTAACTGACTTTTTTTGTCATTTTTTTGTGTTTTATTCAAATATTTGCAACATATTAACTCCAAAAGTATTATATTTGTAAGTTGCCACGTCACCACAACTTGAATTAATGTACACCAACTTTAACAAAATCTGTCCTTTTTGAAGGGTTAGATTGATGTAAAGAAACAACGGGTTTCACCCCCTCAAACCTAAGACTGGAACAAACACTCGATTAGAACATCTTTCATGTTTGTAGTTTTTCAGGCATCTCCTCTTTGTGTCTGGGGTCTACTTCGGAGATGGATTCACGACGCCGCAACTCGCCGGGTTCAACAAGTTTCGACATTTGCGGCATATCTACTCTTTGTGTCCCGTTGTATTTTTCTGAAGTATATTAAATCAAAAGTAGTTTTGTATTTTTATTTATTATGGGTTTTTTCAAACTACAAACTTTAGTTAATTATATTAAAATTATATAAAAGTTGATATTGTCATCTAAAAACAAATAGCACGAATGTAAATATAATTAATTATAATTTGATAGTTTGGTAACATAATTTATTTTTTGAAGCAAAATACTAAGAAAAAATCAATAGACTTTTTCACTTAATTAACCCTTAGACTACTGACTAAAAATACTTTTTTTTTTCATTTTTTGAAAAATAAAATTAAAAAAAAATTAATTTAAATTTTTGAAAAAAAAATAAAAATAATGGTAATTTTTCATCAACAATTTAGAATGATTATTGATAAAATAATTCAACTCAAAAACATAGTAATACAGAATGAAAATGAAGGTATTAATATGAAAGCGAAGATATTAATTTAGGGTTCATTTTCTATTAATCTATTGGCCAAAAACGAACTAACATGTAAATAATTAAATTTAAGCAATTTAATGCAACATAACTACAACAAAAAACAAGTAAAATTGACAAAAAGCACTATTTCCAACACAGTCACGATTTTTGGAAAGGGAAAATATAGTTAATATTATAGTTACAAAATTATATAATTTATTATAAATTTCAACGCAAGAAATTATAACAATATCAATATTTACTATACATTTTATTATTCATGTTTATAATAAATTTATTATTATTTTGTTAATAATATTCAAACAACACTCAACATAAAAATGATTTACAATACTTTGGGTTGTGTTTTATGGCCTTCACGACCGGCGTGCGTATGAAAAACACAAACCAAAGTGTAATAACGAGCTGCATTAATTAATCTGAACGTCAATATAACCTTTTTTTAAATAACCACGTTGATAATAAATAAATAAACCATAAAGCTAATACTCACCCACATGTTTAAACACACTTAAAATATTTATCATTTTGTAAACGGGTTTTGTTTTGTTTTAAACCCCGAAAATACAATTAAATAATAACAAATTTACTATAAAACACCATCAACTATTTATAATCAGCTAATTATAACATTTATTACTATTGACGACGGGAAAAGTGCTAACAAATTGGGTTAATTCCAAAAAATGCAATCAATTAATCTTTTCGTTATCATTTTTGTACTAATCTTGAGGATTATGCCTCTGTTGTTGTAATATTTTTGAATAAGATATTGTGTGGCAAAAAATCCTCAGAAAAAAATGAAACGGATTTACAATGATTTTTTTAAAGAAAAAGCAAATTTGACTTTTTTCTATGCTCTTTGAAAAAAAAATAAAAGTGAAAAAAAGCGAACGTGTTAAACTACAATTTAGTACCAACTTTTTTCAACTTTTTATAATATAAAACTACTATATAATTTAGATAATAATAAATTAATTAATTAATTGGTTAATTATCAATTCAATGATCTTTATCTAATTCATCGGTCAAGTCGTCCAAAGTAACTTTCTTTATTTTTCCATGTTTTATAGCATCATAAAACTCATCAAAGTCTATTTGTCCATTTTCGTCTTGATCAACAACAGTAAAAGCCATCATTCTATTACCCATATTCGTGTCTAAATCTGTTCCTTTTTTTATAAAATCGGAGAAGTCAAAATAGTTCAGAAATCCATCGTTATTTTTATCACATATATGAAAAAAAATCGAAACCAATTCCTTCAAACTCTCAAAAGGAAATTGGGGTTCTTCTGGTATATAGTTGTACAATTTTTGAAATTCAGATTTGTTCAACTTGAAGTCTCTTGCATTGAATAAACCTTCGCCATCAATTTTGCGCAAAATATATCGACAAACCGTGTCTATGCGAGAATCAACAATTCTGATATTAAAAAGCTCTTTCATTCCAACAACGAACTCTTCAAGATCAATGTAACCATTTTTATCGGTATCAAACGACTCAAACAATTCTTTTGCTTTACCTTTAAGTCCCATTTTTAATTATTGTTTTTACTAGTTTATAGTTCAAATTAATCCAATGTGTGTATTTCTATTTTTTAAATACTGTTTCAAATTTATATTTTGAAAAAATACTATGAATTATAAAACAACACTCTTTTTATATTAAATAAGTGTGGTCATGAAACATCATATAAAAGATTTAAAAAAGAATAATAATATACAGGGGGGCTAAAAAAACCGCTTCAATCTTTTTAACCGCTTCCACTTGATTTTTTTAATGATTTAAATAATATTAATATAATAAAATGTATAGTACTGTTTACCATGAAATCTGAATATGCATCGTAAAGACTTTTTCTGTTAGAGGTGGTAATTTGTATCATACTTTATATTGTTATGTTATTATTTATAACTATTAAATCGATAGGAAGTGGTTAAAAAGACGAAAGCGGTTTTTTTATCCTTTCTGTATCCCGCGAATGGTCGCATGTTTTACACGTTTTTTTATGAAAAAAATGTGTAATAATTATTTTAAAAAATAACACACTGCATGAGAAAGCCATGCAACCAATAATAACAATTATAAACAAAAATCATAAAAACAAATTAAAATAGATATTTTTGATTAGCTTTATAGGGGAAATTAAACAAATCGCAATTTTTGCCAATAACCAAATAAGGTCTGAGTGAGAACTATTTGTATAAACAAGAAATTTATTTTTAATGTTGATGCAAATATCCCGATATATTATTACCACAAAAATATCAATTTTGATTGTTTTAGAAATCAAATTGATTGATACAATCTTTACATTTAAAAATTCGGATAGAGTGTTTAAAACAAACATGTTTACCACATGACACACAAATATTTTTAACGGAATTTCGTTTTCCTTTAATTACTTCTTTACAAATCGCACAATCAGAAGCGGTTTTTTGAATAAAAATGGGTTGTTTAATGTCATTCTTTGTAAATGTTTTCAAAAAAAATAAATAACAGCTTTTCTGGATCGTAGATTTAAATGATTCAATTTCCTCTTTTTAACATCGTTAATAATTAAGTGTATCGCAAC